CAGGACTCAGGCCGAGGTGGGAGCCCTTTACCTCTGACGGAGGCGAGAGCAAAGGCAGACGCAGGGCCTGTCAGCCCAGCAGAGCAGACAAAGCAATTGAAAGTTATCAGCCTGTGCTCCCCACGCACCACCGACCACTCACGAAACTGCTCTTTGCCCAGACATGGCCCCACCATAGGTCAGGACCCTGCCGGTGAGATAACAAGGAGACACGATGTGGGACTGATGAGATTTGGCAGAAGGCAGGAGGAGGGGTGGGGGGAAGGGAAGCCTTCCAGCCTTGGAGAACATGGAGGCAGGAGCCCCCCACGGCCCCCCCGCCAAGTCTAGCCATAACCCCAACCTGCACTCTCGCATCCAATTTCCACCTCCCTCTCCCACTTGTTCCTTTCTGCCTTTGGCCGCTTATAAAACAGCAGAAGCCTTTGCTTGACTCTGCTGCGCCCTCTAGCCGCCGCTCCACTTCTCTCACTTCTTTTTTTTTTTAACACCAAACTTCTCTGGAGTCCCCACTTCCAGTAATCCAAGCTCTCCTCAGTACCTTCAAGTCTGACCTCTGGGGGCGTGTGAAGATCCAGTCAGTGGCCTTTGCTGGATTTTCCTACCCTTGAGCCTCTCTGCGCTCTTCATCCTACTGACCATCTCTTTCTCAGACCTCCTCTCCTGCCTCCGGGCAGCTGACACTATGCTGGCTTCCCACCTGCTCTCGGTCTCCTTCACTGTCCTGTGAATTTTCCTGCTTGTCCTCAGTGGAACCAGAGGTCTTCTATAAAGACCAGCATTGCCTAGGCCACCTGTCCCTGGCGCCCTGTGTATGTCACTGGTGACTATATGTCACCTTGTGTCTCCAGCCCTGCCTTCTCAGTCTTGTCCCAACTGTAGGCCCCACCTCTTCGGCTACCTAGAAGGCATTGCCACGTGCACATCTTGCTGCTACGTAACACTCTATCACAAAGGGATTATTTAGGGCTTTCCAAAATGAATAGTTTTTTATCTAAGACTCCGTCTTGAGGAAAAAGCAACTGCGTACGTTGACACTTCATTCTGTGAAGATGATGATCTCTTGTCCCTTAGCACAGGCTGGGTGCAGAGTGGGTACAAACGTGTGTAGGGCACATGTCCTGTGGGAAGAGACTTAACTCTAAGTCCGAGCTAGCGCCTTCCAGTCCTATGACTTTGGACAAGTTATTTAACATCTCTGAGCCTGCCTCCTCACACAGAAGATGGGTTATCTTCTTAGAAGGTTATTGTGAAGAGTACATAATGTTATTGTGCAAACAGCTTAGCTTGGTGCCTGGCACACAGTAAGTGCTCAATAAATAGTAACAACTATATCACTGGGTGGTGCAAACGGCTAACACTGTTGGCTGTTAACTTGAAAGGTTGGAGGTTCGAATTCACCCAGAGGCCCCTCAGAAGAAAGGCCTGGCAATCCACTTCTGAAAAATCAGGCATTGAAAACCCTGTGCTAAATGTGAAGATTGTTGAGATGGAAAATGTTTTGTTACCTATATATTTATCACAATTAAAAAAAAAAAAAACCATGGAGCACAGCTCTACTCTGACACATACAGGGTTGCCATGAGTCGGAATCGATTCAACAGCAACTGGAAAATGTATTAATAGATAGGAGAATGAAGGCTGAGACTCCCCCTCGCAGCCTTTCATGACTTTTCAGGCTTGATTCACGTCCTCTCAGTCTCTCTCTTGGAAACCTGAACAGGTTTTGGTGATGCCTTGAGCTCTTACAGGAGGTGGCTGCCCCAGGAGAGCCAGCAGGGCAGTAAATCACCAGCTTCTTCTCTTTTATCAGTACTTTGGCTCATCTGTTCCCAGCATCCTTAGGGCACGAAGGTGCAGTGCCATTCCACCCCGAGAACCCCTCCCCTGCTAGGTACAATCCCTTCCTGCCCCCGCACACCCAGCACAGCATCTGTTAACTCAAGGGATGCAGCTTCCCTTCTGCTCAGCAGTGGGGGCTGAACAGGTGAAAGGCGTCCTGGTGAGCCCCCCCTCAGCCCTCAGCCCCCGGGGGACTTGGATAAAGAATGCCTAGGAGACCAGAGGGCTGACATGGTGGTATCAGTTTCCAGGATAGCAGAGAAGCCCACAGCTCCCCGGGGAAGGGAAGATGGATGGCAGTAGGGGGATGGAGGCAGGGAGCAATGCAGGGAAGTGGTGACCCAGGCCCGGCATGAGTAATGGAGCAGCAGAGGCCAGAACTTTGGGTGCGAGGCCTGGTGGGCCTGAGGGTTGTGTTTGCTGTCTCAGCCTCAGGCAGCCATCTTGTAACCTTAGGCCCTCAGTTGTGAAGCTTTCCTAGCAAAAATGTGGGGTTGGCTCAGTGCCCTACTGGGCACACAGCTCTAGACGCAGGCACCTGGTGATCATGGTGGTAATGGGTGGGCACCACAGTGGTGTATCATCTTGGTGAAGTATAGGCAGCCAACATTTGTTAAGGGCTTCCTATGTGCCAGGCACTGTGTTAACTCATTTTTAACCCTCATATCAACCCTCTGTGATCCACTTTACAGACCAGGAAACTGAGGCCCAGCTATGTTAAGTAACTTGACCAAAGTCACACAGCTAGTAAGTAGCAGGGCTATGATTCGAACCATGCAGTCTCTCTCCAGCGGGCATAACTTACCACCTCTCTGTTCCAGGTTGCTTTTCTTCAGAGGCCTTAGCTCAGTAGGTAATTACGTATTCAATACTGTGATTATAGCCTCAATGTCCATCTTTACTGTAAGACTGAAGGCATGAACTTTGCCTGCTTTTCTCTGCTGATTCCCCAACACCTGGCACACAGTAGGTGCTCAGTATGAACTTTAATGAACGAGGGAATGACCTAATCAATCAACTGATCTTTGAATGAGACATGCCCTTGGCCCTCTCCTGCTTGGGGCATGGGCCCACCCACTACCCCCACCAGAGACCAGCATCCCAGGGAGTGCTGGTGTTGCCATGGTGACAGCAGTGGCATCAGAGTTGGTACCTCCCTCAGGTGGCCTTGTCATCTCCCTGGGTAGAACACGTTCTGGCTGTCTGTCCTGGGAGTTAGTCATTCCTGCTGGGCAGGAGGCTGGAAGGTGAATTCTACACGGATAAATGTGTGAAACTTAAATGTACATGTGTGAGTGTGTTTGTGAATGTGTGTGATATGTGAGCGTGGGTGGTGTGTGTGTGTGCATGAGTGTGTGTATGTGGTGAGAGCATGTGTATGTGAATGTGTGATGTGTGTGTGTTGTGTGTGTGTGGGCTGTGTGTGTGTGGTGTATGTGTGTGATGTGTGTGTGGTGTGTGAGTGTGTGTAGTATGTGTGAGTGTGTGCAGTATGTAGTGTATGTGTGAGTGTGTGTGTATGTTGGGGGAGGGTCCCCAAGAGTGACCATGTGCCCATTGTGGGGTGTTTGCCGGTAGGTATGTCGGAGCAGGGACCTAGGTCAGTAGCGGGGGATGTTGTATGTGCTGGGGCCAGACTCTGGGCTGTGGGTTGGTAGAGTGACTGTAAATGGGGTGTAGGTTTTGAGTGGGGAGATACCATTGAGGGTGCCATGGCTGATAACCCTCTTTTCCAAATCAAAAATTAAAGGACATCATTCAACAACGGACTTCTGAGTTGTGAATGATTTACATGGAAAATCTTACAAAGATAAAAATTGAATCACATCTAGTTAAACCTTTGATAGGTTCCTTTATTGGAAAGAATAAATGTATATGAAAATCTGGAATGATGGGACATTGGGCGTGCGTGGGGGCTGGGGTGGTGGGACCCAGGCCTGAGTATGTGGTGGAGGAAGGGGTGGGAGGCAGAGGCTCCAAGGTCTTTCCTCAGGCAGGCAGCCCTTCCGCTCAGCCACTGGGGGGCTCAGAAACCCTGAAAGGGCCCTGCCAATGTTGGGGGCTCATTTCTGGGCTTCCTGGCTCTCAGTTTCAACCTCTGGCCCTTGGATTGGGTCAGCGCTGGGAGAGGGCAGGGACAGCCTGACTCCCTGGTGCTTTGCGGCCATCTCTGGGCAGCCATTTCTTACTCTCCCCTCAGCTTCCAGGAGCTTTTCTCCTTGGCCCCCATGTCTGAACTCGGATAGGCTCCCCATGCTCCCCCAACCCCATGTGTCACCCCATCTGACCACCCTGTAATGTGAGTACCTGGCTGAGAGCTGCATCCCCCACTGGCGTATGTCCCTGGCACATAGTAGAAGCTCAACAAACATTTGTGGAGTGAATGACTTAATGGAGGAAGGGGCGAAAGCACTCAGCCTCCCATTTCCTCAGCAGCAGAGTTCCTGGTAAATTCACTCCCTTACATCGGGCACTTATATGCCTCCTTGCAGCCCTGTCCTCCCAGTGCACAGCCACAGCCATACGAAACCCAGCAGGAAGGGTACCTATGTCTACCCCAGCCACTGCAGACCCCTGGCAGCACCCTCTGTGGCCAAAGGAAGAAGCCTTAGGCAGGGCGAGGCTGGAGAGACGTCTTCTCCCTGGTTGGCCCTAAGTCACAGCCCTCAAAGCCCATTGTCTGTGAGTGACCTGAGACTTGCTCTACAGTCTTCAGCAGCCTGTCCCCTGTTTGGGCAACCCCCTCAGCATGCTGGGAGGACAGGGTGGGCCCTACTAACCCGGGTGGGAGTGGGCTGCCTTGCTAACCAACATAGACAGGTGACTCAGCGGAGGGTTGGCTGAGAACAGCCCCCACCCCAAAGCCTAATGGAAGAAGAAATTGTCTCCCCTCTGCTTTTTTCCTAGTTAATCCGAGAGATAATATGAGCCCTACTGTGTGCAAGACCCCATTAGAGCTGGGGAAGGGGAGAAGCTGTCTACTGCCTGGCCTGTGCTCCTGAGTTGCCCAGTGCTCCTTCCACTGCTCCTTGAACCATCATCCACTTTAAGTTACAAATGAGTCCTTAATGTTCAAGGCTCAGAGTGGAGCCCTGGCCCAGCTGCATGCCCACCTGCCCTGGGCTTCAGTCACACCCAGGAATGCTTCTCTCTTGCAGGGAACACCAACAGCATCTTTGCCCTGGACTACATCAGTGGAGCGTTGACCTTGAATGGGCTGCTAGACCGGGAGAACCCTCTGTACAGCCATGGCTTCATCCTGACTGTGAAGGTGAGACCTCAGTGGTGGGCATCTCATCTAAGCAGACAGGGGCAGGGACCAGTGCCCACCAGCGATGATGCCAGTCCCCAGCTGTGTCTGAGGCTCCAGCCTCGGATGGAGGCTTCAGGAAGCACATTGCTTCTGCCCTTTCCCCCTGTGCTGACTCCTGGGACTTGTGCCAGGGCCCTATGTGGAAGAGACCAACACTTATCAAGAGAGGGCCATGTCAGGTATCTTGCTGGGCACTTTGCATCCATATCAACCCCACAGAATGGACTTTCATCCCCATTTTGGGGATGGGGAGGTAGAGGCAGAGGACGGTTAACTTACCAGTCGTGTGAGACAGCTGTAAGGTGTAAATGCAAAATATAAAGCTCCAGAACATAGTAGGTGCTCAGCCCGTAGTCCTTACTGTTATCCCATGATTCCAAGTTCACTGTGCAGCCAACCTGAATTCTTGAGTTTACCCCACTTCTGAGGTCTTGTCCCATTTCAGAGTCTCACAGCTTCCCTAGGGCTATTACCTGATTAGGAAGCAGCATCGGAGTGGGGAGGGGGCCAAAGCTGCTGAAAGCCCCAACTACAAGGTGTGGTGGAGACTCAGCTCTGCCTGCCATCACCTGCCACTCACACCAGTTTTAATTAAAATCAGTGACTTGCTGAGCCATTCCCTGGGAAACCCATTTAGGGGTTTGGATCCTGCCTGGGCCACAGGGGCCTCCCCAGCCCCAGCCATTGATTGAGAGGAGGGGGTGACTCAAGGACTCAGAAGAGGGGCCTGGGAAGGAGACCCTTCCATTGACATGGGGAGGATGGTGCCACCCAGCCTGCTCCTTAATTGCTCTCCTTGACCTTGAGAGGGCCTGGAGCAGTGATAGATTTATTAGCCCCTACTCAACCCCTGACTCCCCCACCCAGTGCCAAGACCACAGGCCCTCCCAGCCCTCCCTTCCTGGTCACTGCTCCCTTTGTTGGTAAGAGAGGTCAGCTCCAATGGGGGAGAGCTGCTTGCTAGTCTCAGCACTGCCACCAACTCACTGTGAGACCCTGAACTCAATTCTTCAATCTTGAAATAGAATGTGAGACAAGTTCCCAAACTTGGCTGTGAATTGGAATCCTCTGTGGAGCTGCTGAAAGGTCCTATTCCTGGATCTCTCACCCAGAGATTCAGGTTCAGAAAGCTGGTGTATGTAGAACTGGGAATGGGTATTTTTGAGCCCCAGAACTCTCATCAGGGGCCTAGAGACTGGACATTCTGATGCCTGAGTCCATCTATTCCCGAGTCTGACCCAGATCCTCACTGCCTAGCACAGTGCTCAGTCCATAGCAGATGCTCAGTTAAGTGTCTTTGCCTCAGTTCTTCATCTGTCAGGTTGAAGAGTCTCCTGTTGTCCCTAAGTGAGCCACCAAACCTGTCTTGTCCTTCCCACCCCGTGTCATCCTCTCATCAGGTTCTAGAATCCTACTGCCTGAGTTTAAGACACTAGCAGTGTGACCTTGGACAAGTTACTTAAGCCTTGGTTTCCATCATCAGTAAAATGGGGATACTAGTGATAGAATCTTCCTTCTGGGGTTATGGTGAGAATTTGATGGAGTAATTCACATAAAACACAGTCCCCAGCATTGAGAAAACCCTCGGTAAATAATAGCTGTTATGATTATGGCCACTTTCACCCCTGGGTTGCTCAATCCCTGTCTGCAGGGCACGGAGCTGAATGACGACCGCACCCCCTCTGACGCCACAGTCACCACGACCTTCAACATCCTGGTTATTGACATTAATGACAATGCACCCGAGTTCAACAGCTCCGAGTACAGCGTGGCCATCACAGAGTTGGCCCAGGTCGGCTTTGCCCTCCCCCTCTTCATCCAGGTGGTGGACAAGGATGAGGTGAGTCCCTGGAATGCAGCCCTTCCCACTGTGCAGTCCGGGTGGGACATTAGGCGTGTCTGGGCTTCTAGATCCTCGGCTGTAAGACAGATACAAACATTGCTGCACCCCTTCCTGCACCCCTTCCCTGCTATGTTCTGAAGATGAATAAGGCTATAAAAATCAGTGAGCTCCCAACACCCTGTAAAAAACGTTTGAGCACACACCTCCAATATGTGTCTTTATTTATTTAGAAATTGTATACATGACGGTCATAAGAGATTATATACCTGACCATCATACTAATAAAGTATGTACATTGTAAGACATACACACAAAAAAGAGAAAATTTAAAAGGTAGAAATAAGCCATAATTATATTTCCCACACCCTGTTGGATCTTCTCGTGCCCTCTCTGGGGTGCATGTACCTAAGCTTTGAAGCTCCTATATTAATGGTAACTTTGACAGAAAGTCTCATTTCTGCTTTCGGTGTAATAATGACCCACCTTTCTTGTGTGAGGAGCATAGGAGACTTAAGTGCTTTTGAGAGGATCCCAGACACCAAGAAGACTCGGAAGGGGTTCGGGACACTTGCATCTCTTTGCCCAAAGGCCTGCCCTGGCGAGCCCAGTCATAAAAGGAAGGGAGATGGGCCACTAGTGAGGGAGCATTTGAGAGGGACAGAGGGAGGGTGGAGGCACCGGGGCCCCCATAAGCCCTGCCCCACCCTGCCACCATCGGGCGGGGGCTGGGCCTAGACAGTGGCTGTTTTATCCTTCAGGACCCTCAGCCTGCCTCCCACCTGGGCTACCTCGTGTCCTATTGCCCCTGCCTGTCAGCAGCCACGATCGTTGATAGGACTTCTATTTATTACCGCTGCTCCCACTGGCCCACTCTGCTCAGGAATTCCATTAGGTTCTCCAGCCCGAGGTGCTTCTCTTCAATTACTCCTCTCACGAGGCTCCGCGCTGGCGTTGCTCCAGGCTGGGCGTCCTCCCTCATTCCTCCTGCCCCTCTCTGGCTCCTTAGCACACCACCCAGCATGCCTACATTAGCCCTTCCCCCACATTCTGTCCCCATCTCCCATCAGCTTCTCTCCAGTCAGCGTGGTCACCTGAAGGACTCAGGGCCACATGGGCAAATCAGTCTTACAGTGTGTGTGTGCGTGTGTATGGGTGTGTCTCTGTGTGCACTTGTGCACATGTGCTTCTCCATCTCCTGCTAAGTCATTCCATATACATGTCTAAGATAACTAAAGTATGTATTGAGCACCTACTGTTTACAAGGAGCCACACTGGCCCCTTGGAAGAGTCCAGGAAGTATTAAGCCATGGTCCCCCTCCCAAGAGGCCAGCGGTGTGTTTGTACAAATATAACCAATCATTTGCCATAGAGTCTATTCTAACTCATGGCGACCCCATGTGTGTCAGAGTAGAACCGTGCTCCACAGGGTTTTTAATGGCTGATTTTTTGGAAATAGATCATCAGGGCTTTCTTCCAAGGCTCTTCTGGGTGGACCTGAACCTCCAACCTTTCGGTTAGCAGCCGAGCACATTAACTGTTCGCACCACCCGGGGACTCCTGTGCAAATATAGTATGTCCATTTAAAAACATACACAAAGTGTAGCAATTTAAAAAGATAGAGGTAAACAGTAAGTATAAAAACAATATATTTTCTCACGCTATAGTGGGTCATCTTGTGTCCCCTGTGGAGTGCAGGTCTCCCCTTTTAGAGACTACTGATCAGTGACAACCTCAGAAGAGTCCCAGCCTTGGCTTCAGGGTAGGAACACCACCCAAGAGAAGAGAACCACTGATACCCGAGGGTGGCCCAAGGGTTCAGTGACCGCAGGCAGTGAGGACTCCATGGCTCAGATGAGGAAGGGGCAGCAGGGGCTGAGAGGATCAAGGAAGGCCTTACTGGGAGAGGGGTACAAGGACTGGGCCTAGGGGCACCAGTCAGATGGCGAAAGGGAGCACAGACAGGCTGGAAGGCTGGCTGGCCAGGCCGGCACCAAGAGGCAGACACCTTTGTGTAGATCAGGGAGCAGGCAGTAACCCATGGAGTAACTCAGGGTTCGTGTGGAGGGCTTGCGGGAAGGTGGCTGGGGCACAGCCTTGGAGAGCCTCAAATGCTAGGCCACGGAATTCGGGCTTGATCTTCGAGGCAGCCCAAAGGGGAGGCAGCATGGGCAGTAATTAACAGCATAGGCTGTAGGATCAGACAGGGCTTATGTTTAAGTCCAAACTCACTGCTTACTGTGACTTTTTTTGTTGGTTTTTGCATAAAAGTATATTTCTTTCTTTCTTTTGAAAGTTGTTTTATTGTGGTAGTAAAACATTTGCCAAGTCAACATTTTCTACATATACTATTCGGTGACACTGGTTACGTCCATCATGTTGTGCATCCATCACCAGTACCTGTTTCCAAATTATCGCAGCACCGTTGACAGAAACTCAGTGTCCCCCAGGCAGTGACTCCTCCGTCCCCCACCTTGCCACCCCTGTTAATGACTAATAAACTTTAGTCTCGTGCATTTGCCTATTCTACATATTTTATATAAGTGGGGTCATATAATATTTGTCCTTTTGTGACTGACTTATTTCACTCAGGATAACGTGCTCGAGGTTCATCCATGTAGTGTGTATCAGACTTCATTTCTCTTTACGACAGAGTAATATTCCACTGTGTGTATATACCAAAAAACTCATTGCCCTGGAGTTGATTCCAACTCATAGCGACCCTATAGGACAGAGTAGAACTGCCCCATACGGTTTCCAAAACTGTAGTATTTATGGAAGCAGACTGTCCCATCTTTCTCCTGCAGAGCAGCTAGTAAGTTCAAACCACCAACCTTTCGGTTAGCAGCCGAGCACTTTCACCACTGCACCACCAGGTCTCCTATGTACATACCACAGTTTGTTTGTTCATTCGTCTGTTGGTGGACACTTGGGTTATTTCCAGATTTTAGCTATTGCGAATAATGCTGCAGTGAACATCACCGATGTACGATCACTGTGACCTTTGGTGAGTCATTGACCCTTTCTAAGCCTCACTTTACTCAACTGTTAAAAAAAAAAAAAGAAAAAAGAAATCAAAAAGGAAAAGAATGTATTGGTCAGGCTACACTGCAGTAACAAGTTAACCCCAAAGCCTCAGTGCACTGATACCACAAAAGCTTCTTTCTCACTCCAGGCTGCTTGTCCAGCACACATCGGCAGGGAGACCCCCACTCTATAGTCACCTGGGGCACATGATCTGGAATTTCAATCATCTCTGTAGTATGGCAGAGAACGCTAGAGGGCTAAACACCAGCTCTTCTGTGCTTCATCCCAGAAGGGACTTCATGACCCCTGCCCACGGCCCATTGGCCAGACTAGTTACGTGCCCCGACCTCACTGCCCACATATTTGTCTCTGCCACAAAGGATCACAAAAGGAATGTGGAGAGAAGGAGATAAGATGATGCATGTGTAGGACTTAGCACAGTGCCTGCTGTGCATAGGTGTCAGCCATCCTCACCATCCATAGAGCTGCAGCTCCCTGACCAAGGCTGGGCCAGGGAGCATCTCCGCAGACAGCCAGAACTTCCAGGGTCCTGCTCACTATGACCAGGTAGGGGAGTTCAGGGTCACCCTGACTCCTTCAGTGTTATCCCCAGCTCCCTTTGCTAGAAGCCCCATCTGAAGTGTGTGCAGGAATGTTGAGGGGAGTCTAGGCTCAGCCTGCCTCTAGTGACTGTCCCTGCCCAGGCATATGTGCTGTGGTCAGGGAGCCCAACACCACCAGGGACCATTCCCTGGTCAGCACTGCTGCTTTCCCAAGAGAGTTGGCCAGAGTCTCTGACCGTAGAGGACTGGCCTCCTCTCCACTGGGTCCCACTGCTCCAGGGCCCAGAGATGTGCAGAGAGAGAAGCTAACGAGGCCCTGGAGGAGAGGAGGCCTAGAAGCCCGGATACCTCCACCAAGGTCATCTGAGCTGCCCTCTGATTCCTGGATAAGAGCGAGGGATATATCATTTCTACCTCCAGCACTGCTGTTTGTATCTCCCATCCCCTCACCCCTCTCCAAAGCTCTGGAGGGATTCAGGACTGTCCAGATAAATGCTCCCAAGGCCCCGTCTTGGATGGGGGGGAAGGCACCGCCATGACTGAGGGCCAGACCCCGGTGCTCATGTGGGGTGCTCAGCCACGTTGCCAGCAGGAACAGAAGAGAGGCCCCTAGCACTTGAGTGCTGCCTCAGTGTCCAGGATCTGGAAAAAAATCAGGGAACCTCAAAAAAGAAATCAGGCAGTAACTGCTGTCAAAAAAATTTTTTATATTGTCATTTCTTGCAGTTCCCTTTCTGGAAGGAGAATACAGCCATTGGAATTTGTGTCTGGGTTGAAGGTGACTCGGGTTTGCTGGATGTGGCAGAAAAGTATGTTCAGTGAGCAAATTTGGAGGCAAGAAGGCAGAGTGAGGAGAGGAAAGAGTCAGACTCCTTTATTCTAGGTTCTGTGTAGAGCCATGGAAACCCTGGTGGTGTAGTGGTTAAGAGCTATGGCTGCTAACCAAAAGATTGGCAGTTCAAATCCGCCAGGTGCTCCTTGAAAACCCTATGGGGCAGTTCTACTGTGTCCTTATAGGGTTGTTATGAGTCAGAGTTGACTCGATGGCATTGTTTTTAATGTAGAACCACGTGATTCTCCCCTGTACTTACTATCGTTGTGGTCCGTACAATCGTTAGTGGGATGATTTCATTCATGTCTGTCTCCCCAGTTAGACTGAACCATCCATAGAAGGGACCTTGTCTGTTTCTGCTCACCAGTGTAACCTAGGGCCTGGAACTCTGCCAGGAACTTGGGAGACCATCCTGAAATATATGCTGGTTGGGTTAATGCAGGGTTAAATAATAAAAGTGGCTGTAGCTGGGGCAAATGTGATCTATCAACTAGAAATGAGGTGGCCTGGGGCTTCTGCCAAACTGGGTCCTTAGTGCCCCTGTGCTAAAGCCCAGTTCCGTCTGAGTTGGTGTAGGAAGGATGACCTCCTCAGAAGTCCACTATGGGGCAGTAGAGGGTACTGATGGGGAAGAGGAGAAGGAAGAAGGAGTTCATCCTCTCAGTCGGGACTTTGCTGTAGTTATGCCTAATATGGATGTTAATCTAATTCACAAAGACCAGATACAGTCTGTGCCACCCCCCCAGAGAAGGAAGATTCTGCTCAGTCTTTTCTGAACTCA